CTTTGTGTGAGCTGTTTCTCTTTAGGACTGGATCAATTTCGTGTAACTCAGTGGATCCATCTGCCTGTCTTCTGAGTCCTGGGATTAAATGTGTGTGCCACCACTGCTCATCTCTGTGGCTAAATAGTGTGGCTGGCTTTGCATTCTGATACTTCAGGCAATCTTCATAAACAATGTATCATCACACTAAACCCAGGTTTGGCTCCCAGAGCTCAAATGGTAGCTTAAGCCATTCCTAACTCCATTTCCAAGATTCAGTGCTCTCTTCTGGCTTGAAGGGCATTTATTTATTTGTATTTTATGTGTACAAGTGCTTGCCTGCATATACTTGTGTGCACCACATGTATTCCTGGTGCCCTTGAAGGTCAGAAGAGGACATTGGATCCCTTGGAACTGGAAGTAACCCACTGCTATGTGGGTTCTGAGAGCTGAACCAGGGTCCTCTGCAAGAACAAGTGCTCTGAACTGCTGAGCCAGCTCTCTGAAAACCCCATTTAAATTTGTAATTTTTAGCTTATTAGTGTGTATATGTATGTATGCCACAGCACATATGTAGGACAAAGGACAGCTTTTTTTTCCAAGACAGGGCTTCTCTGTGTAGCTTTGGAGCCCATCCTGGCACTCGCTCTGGAGACAGGCTGGCCTCGAACTCACAGAGATCCGCCTGCCTCTGCCTCCCGAGTGCTGGTGCTGGGATTAAAGGCGTGGGCCACCAATGCCCAGCTAGTAGCCTCATAATTATTCACAGCATTTTACAAGTTGCAGAACCTGTTTAGAGTCCAGTAAATAGTAAGTGGCAGAGTTAGTGTTTAAACTTTTGGCAGGTTGACTAAAGAGCCTGCACAGCTGACACTATCTCATGCTGTCAGTCAGTGCAAAGCACACCTTTTTTATGACCACTGTCATTTGTTTAAAGAAGCTCAGAGGATTTTGTTTGATCATAATTTGAAGCCAGCCTCAGTTTTTTGATAGCTGGATCAAACTGAAGGATGCTTATCTCTAATCTGTTAAGGAGGCATGTTACATATGAGAGTCACTTTCTTCTGAAGTTTGATAGTTGATATGGTAGAAACATTATCACTAACTGGTCTGTATTCTTGTCCTTAAGGATGGTGGGTCCTTGGATCAAGTTCTGAAGAAAGCTGGAAGAATTCCTGAGCAAATTTTAGGAAAAGTTAGCATTGTTGTGAGTATATAGTAAAAAGTTTTTCTTCTGAAATAATGAGTTGGGAAAAGAAAAAAAAGTAATGAATTGAGAGGAAATATGTAAGGGAGGAAGAGAAGTCAATGAAGGGAGTTTATTTCAAATATTTCTCACTGGAAATTTTTCTGTGGAGGATGACCTTGAACTTCTGATACTTCTGCCTTATCTGCTCCCCCAGTGCTAGGATTTACCAACACATCCAGTTTTATACAGGATTGAAGTGTGGGCTAAACCCCAAGCCCCAACTCTTTTGTTAAAGCCTGTGTCTGAAAAACAGGATAAGGTACTTGAGAAAAAAAAATTTTTAAGATCTATTTATTATGTATACAGTGTTCTGTCTGCATGAATGCCTGCAGGCCAGAAGAGGGCACCAGATCTCATTACAGATGGTTGAGAGCTAACATGTGATTGCAGGGAATTGAACTCAGGACCTGTGGAAGAGCAGTCAGTGCTCTTAACCTCTGGGCCATCTCTCCAGCCCCTGAGAAAATTCTTAATTTGGAAAAGAATCTCTGATAGGGTGTTTTGAAAAGTTACTTATATTTGGCCATCCTTAATTTAAACTTGCAGTAATGCTTTATAGAACATGTGTCATGGCTGTTTGGTAAGCAGATTTGTTGTTGTTAGTGATGTTTAATGAGAGCCATTGTGTTTTCTAAGCTAGTGCCATTTCAGTTTCCCTTCTTTTGACTTTCTCCACCAGGTGATAAAAGGCCTGACATATCTTCGGGAGAAGCACAAGATTAAGCACAGAGGTGAGAAAGCATTGCCAGATGTTTTATTCTGAATTACATTG